TAGAATAGAATAGAATAGAATAGAATAGAATAGAATAGAATAGAATAACAGAGTTAGAAGAGACCTTGGATGTTTTCTAGTCCAACCACCTGCTCAGGCAGGAATCCCTATTCCATTTCAGACAAATAATTGCCCAATCTTTTCTTTAAAACTTCTAGTGTTGGAGCATTCAGAACGTCTGGAGGCAAGTTGTTCCACTGATTAATTGTTCTGTCAGGAAATTTCTCCTTAATTCTAGGTTACTTTCCCCCTTGATTAGTTTCTACCCCTTGCGTCTTGTCCTGTCCTCAGGTGCTTAGGAGAATAGCTTTACTTCGTCTTCTTTGTGGCAACCCCTGAGATATTGGAACACTGCTATCATGTCACCCTTCTTTCCACTAAACTAGACGTACCCAATTCCAGCAACTGTTCATTATGTTTTAGCCTCCAGTCCCCTAATTATCTTTGTTGCTCTTCTCTGGACTCTTTCTAGAGTCGCAACATCTTTTTAACATTGTGGTGACCAAAACTGAATGCAGTATTCCAAGTGTGGTCTTACCAACGCATTATAAAGTGGCATTAACACTTCATGTGATCTTGATTCTATCCAGTGGTGGTATTCTACCAGTTCGGCCCAGTTCTGCCGAGCCGGTAGCGCTGATGAGCAGCGGAGACCGAACCGGTTCTCTCCGTCACTCTGCTGTTGGGCCCACCACCAGCCTGGGCTCCCATAGTCACCTTTATTCCCTGCTTTTGAAGCGCGGCTGCTTTGCGCGGCACAGCAGAGTGCCGTGCGGCAGCTGCTGGAGTGACAGGGAGAGTGCAGGCTTGCAGGAGGTGAGTTGGAACGCCTCTGGGCCTGTGCCAAGTGCACGTTTGGTGCGCACACGCAAAGTGTGTGCATGTGCGCAAATCACGCCAACCAAGCCACACCCACCAAACAGGTGGTAAAAATCTTTGAATTCCACCACTGATTCTATCCCTCTGTTTATGCAACCTAAACCAGGGTTGGCTTTTTTGACAGCTGCAGTACACTACTGGCTCATATTTAAGTGATTGTCCACTAGGACTCAAGATCCCTTTTTCCACTACCTATACCAGCAGTCACCAACTGGTGGGCCATGAAAAAAAATTGGTGGGCCACAGAGAAATCTCACCCGCAGAGCACCCCCCCCCCAAACAATTAATCCAGGCTGTGCAAAAACACAAGGCTGCACCGCCTACATGGCCCACGGGAACCCTCCCCGCTTACTCACTCCTTACCTGGCAAACTTGCCTGCTAAACTGCTATTTTTCCTTTTTCCGACCATCATCTGTTCTGCTGTGGTGGAAGATTTAGATTAGCTAGGAAGCAGGGAATGGTTGGATTTCTTGCTTTCTAGCTAGTCTTTAAATCTTCGGCTCTGCTTTTAAGTACAGCCGAACCTCCCTTAGGACTTAAGGTTTGCTTGAAAGCAAATTCAGTGCAGACTCACGGCAAGCAAATTTTATGTGACAGACTGAGCTAGCCGATGGCAGTTAGATAGATCTCTGAATGAATCTGTGAGTCTGTGAGCAACTCAATCTGTCTGCCTGCTTTGCCTGATTTTGGGTAAAAGTTGCTCTTTTTTTATAAAATATTCAATATTTATTTATTATATAAATATTTATAGTATTTACAAGCCATGCCCAGCCAGTCACATGACCAATAAGGCATACCCACAAATTAGTCCATGCCCATAGAACCGGTTAGGGATTTAAAATTATGAGTTTGGTGGTCCCTGAGGTCCAAAAGGTTGGCGACCCCTGACCTATACTGTACCTGTGCATTTGGTTTTTCTTGGCTAGATGTAGAACCTTGCTTTTTTCACTGTTGAGTTTCATTTTGTTAGATAGCACCCAATATTCAAGTCTTAAGATCCTTCTGTATCTTAAGCCTATCTTCTAGAGTGTTGGCTATTCTTGCCAGCTTGGTGTCATCTGCAAATTTGATGAGTTCTCCATCTATTCCCTCATCCAAATTTTTATGGGTTATTTTCAAATTACTGGTCCATGGTCTTCAGTAGGAAACCAGACATGTTATGATTTACAGCTGAGTGATACTGTAAGTTTTTCCAGTGAAGCCTTTGAGATATTACCTTATTTCCCATGCTTTTTTTCTCCAAAATAAATCTCTTTTGCAGATTATTTCTGTAAGGATTTGAGAGCATAATGATCTAGCTCTCCTTCAAAATTATGTTTCCCAAAACATATTAAAAATATGTTTGGGACAACAGAAGTAGTGAAGTCTAATCCAGTGATTGGCCTTATTAGCAAATAAGTTACCACTTTTATTCTAGCTGTTATTATCTCCAAGCAATCTCAAACGTTTATTCTTGCCTGAGAAAAAGTATATACTTTTTGCTGCAAAAGATCATGTCCTATTTAAAAATTATTAACCTGAACTAGTGAGCAATGTTTTTTTAATTAAACCCATAAATCAGTTTTATTGTTCTCTATATAACAGGAAATGTCAGGTCACAATAGGCCAAGTTTTGTACAAATAGTTCTTTACATTCAGTACTCTTGTCTATTGAACAGACAAGTTTACAATAGTATGCATTCTGTTTTTAAGCAGAAGATTTTAACTACACATTAGCTTTCTGTGATATTAACAATTGTATTAAGTAAGACTCCCAGTTTTCTTATATAACAGCTTATTGTTTTGGGCTAAATTTTTATTGTTATTTTTATTTTAACTTATTCTTTGAACAGCAATTTAAATTCTTATAAGGTTTTCATTTTAATTAGTTTACTTGTGAGACTTATGTGATTTTTAATTTCAGTAATGGCAATCAATTGTCTGTTTAAACTTTGTGAATCCATCTAACACATTGTCCCCACTGCCAACAGCAGTTATCATACTAGCTTTCCTATATAATAGCAGAGGAAGTGTGGGGGTGTGGGATTGACTAAAAATTCAAGTAATGGATTTAATGAAAATTGCATTTTCACATTTCTAAGCAAACATCATTTATCCTTTTCATAATGAGCATTTTACTCCTCCATTTTTAATCACTGCAATAATTAATTAAAACAGAAGACGGGTTGAGAGAAAAGTGTTTTTAATCAGTGCTATGCAGAAAGAAAAAACTGAGATATAGAAAGATAGAGACTTTTATCTGTAAGAAAGATTTCATTCATTTTAATAAAAGATGATGTTTTGACACTGTTTCGAAAGAGTAAGGCATGTAGAAGGAATTCTTATGGGTGAATTCTTATGTCCTTGTGTATATTTAGTAATGAGGTAGGCAATGTTGTGTGTTATCATGTCTTTTCTTGCAAATACAACTGGCTCTCCTGGACTCTGCAGCTGATCAGGGTTTTGGCATTCAATTGAATCCCAACCATCCTGTGATTATTATTTTTCTTAAGATCTTCTATTACTGTTAAGGGGGAAATCTGCCCTTGAGCTATTGTTAGAGATTTTCTCCTTGGAGAAATTATTCACCTAATTTCATCATCCAGTTCAATATAGAGTTTTAAAAGGTTGTTTATGCTAAATTCTCTTCTTAACACTGCAAGATCCAATCTGGGTTGATCACCAGAACCAGAGATTTACTCTTCAGAGCTTTTGGATTGTGCTAGAGAGGTCATCTTCAGGAAACTTGTCTCTAGCAGTGTGCTTTGGGCTACTCTATGAGTTGTACTTATGTGGTACCTTCCTATTGGTTGATTGATGGGTTGATGGCCATCGATCAGATGTTGTTTCCTTGTGTTGCCAGATCCTTAGCTCCTAAGCACCTGATAAACTGGTGCTTCAGCACTCCTGTTGACTGACAAGAGGCCCATTTCCCAGGCTTCAATCATTTCTCTGGCTATCTTTGTACCTGCAAAACCAACAATCTTAGTAGTTGCAACATTGAATGTATGTCCTTGTTTATTGTGATACGAGGCTACCAGTGAGTTCAGATCTTCTCATTTGACTGCTTGCTTGTGTTCTTGTAATCTCTTCTTAATCTGTAAAAAGGATTAACCTTTAATCCTTACATTGATCTGTAATTTACACATTTATCTTTAATCCACAAGTTTTCCCCCTTAAAATTATGATCAATTGCTTCTATTGTCCTTGAAAAAGATAGGAAGCTATACCTTTTTCCTGTTGCAACTGAAATAAATAATGGGATCAATAATGGGATGATTTTCAGTGCACTTATATTAAGAAGATGTTCTTCTCCACTCAGTTATTGCTTCCATATTCCCCTTCTAAATTCCATCCCTAGAAAGTCTATATTTCTTTTATTCCCAAAAGATTAAAAAAAATCACAGGCATGTTGATAGGGATTAAAGAAGAAATAGGGGTGACAGGATAGCAGTATTCCAGTATTTGAGGGGCTTCCACAAATAAGAGGGGGTCAACTTATTTTTCAAAGCACCCAAAATCTAGACAAGAAACAATGGATGGAAACAAATCAAGGAGAGAAGCAACCTAGAACTAAGGAGAAACTTCCTAACAATGAGGACAATTAACTAGTGGGACAGCTTGCCTTCA